TCAGCAAAGCAAATATGTGTTGAGAGTGAAGGACTCTCAAGTCTAGAGTCAGGAAAGACTGAGACAGCAATATAGCTCCATATGGTTTACTAAGTCCTTGAAAGCAGAATCAGCATGAGGTAGTATGGCTTAGTAGGATAGTTTCTTGATAGTGTGTGATGTTCTTCAGTTATTGGTAGCACAGGAACAGATGGAGAGAATATAGCAGTTTGGAAAGAGTAAGGAGGGTTGTACAACAACACAGCTTTAGGCATATTTTCATAGGATTAAAAATGTTCTCCAAGAAAGTAGGATTAAGGAAAGGAGAAAGGAAGAGTAAAGGCCAGTAGAAAGCTTTGCAAGCAAGTGGCAGCCTTTACACTGTCAAAGTGTCCTGTTCCCCATTGAAGCCTGAATTTGAGTCAAAACTTAAGGATAAAGGTGGAAACATTTCTTCACCATTAACACTGCTTATTAGTCTGGGTGGTCATAGTCACGAACTGCCCCAGGATTATGGATTGCCCTCTTGCCAATCCTGAACAACTTCACCTCATCCTGTGCTGGGCTGTAGCTTCACAGGTACCACTAGGTGAAAGTTAGAAGCGCATTATGAGGTTCCAGTCTGGGGAGAGGCAATCTAGGATTGTATTGTAAAATTCCTCAAAATCATTAAGAAATAATTACAGCAATGACCAGAGTAAGCTAGGGACAGAGGAGTATCTACAGAAAGTATCTAATGTAGATACAAACGTGAGGAGTAATAACCCAACAGGTCACGTGCTAGGAGGATGAGAGTCTAAAACACTACAGAAACAATGAGTCAACTCTTGAGAAAAAACTGGATCATCATACAAGTGAGCCCAGTCCCTGAGCAGAATAAGACTGTGCTGGAAAGCTTTAGTTGTTAACTTCACACACCTCTGTTGGAGTGACGGTGGTCCTGGCTGTGAGGCATTGTCTTGATTATTGAGCGATGTGGCAAGGCTCAGCCCACTGTGGGTGGTATCACCCCCTGGGCAGGTAGTCCTGTGTTGTATAAGAATGCAGACTGGGCACAGACCAGAGGAGCAAATCAGTAAGCAGCATTCCTCCATGTGATCAGTGCATTAGCCTTTATCTCCAGGTTTCTTCCCTGAGTTCCTGCCTTGACATCCCTCCATGAGGAACTATGACTGGGAGACATAAGATAAAACACACCCTTTCCTCCCCAAGTAGGTTCTGGTCAGTGTTTTTATTAGAGCAACTAGAATAGAAATTGGTATCAGTGACTGGGACATTGTGGTGATGGACCTGACCATATGTGTCTTGGAGGGTTATGGGGGCTTTTACAGCTTAGGACTCGAAGAGTGCTTGGAGCTCAGTGAGCTCTTCTGCAGGAACTTGGAAGATAATGCTGAAAGAGATGTAGACAATGGAGGCCTGGCTTGTGAAGCTTCAAAGGGAACAAAGACTCTATCAGGGATGTTTGTGTGATATATTTTGAATTAAGAATTTTTGAAAGTGAAATCTTTTTTGCTCCACTGGACTAATCAATGCTGGTCATCTGGGGATGAAATATCAGCTGTGAGCAGCAAGCGACTAGCGCCATCTTGTAAAATTCTCTAGGAAGAATATCCTCAGGGTCAGCACACAGAAGCTATGGTTCAGAGGGGCCAAGGCAGCAATCAAACTCAAGCAGAACTTGGCAATGAGTAAGAATCTTACAAGTGTTGAAGGCAGGATGAGATTATGGAGAGAACTGGAGGCTTTGCAACACTAGAGGCCAGGACAGATCATGGGTGAAGAGCCCCCCTGGGATTGAAGGGGTCATGGAGAAAATCTGAGGCCTGGTACCCTGAGAAGCCAGGAGAGGGCATCGGTGAAGGTGCAGCCTCAGTTTGCCTCACTTGCAGATGAGACTCCAGCATATTGGAGATGCCAGGACCATGGGACTCCCGCCAAGGGCAGCAGCAGCGGCAGGTGTGGCGAGGAGCCAGCTTACAACTATGAGACAAACTGTGTGTGCTGTGCACAGAAGAGCCAGAAAAGAGGAGCTGCCCAAGTCCTTTGGAGCCAGAAGATCATGAATGAGTCCCAGA